GGTTGACGAAAGGTAAAAGCGCTCCGCCGCGAGAGAGGGCTCCTATCAGGCGTGCGGCGCCGCCCACAGAGCATCCTCCATTACTTTTAATATCCTTGGGGCTGTCTCATCTGTTCACGGGGAGCTTGGTGCTAAGGGGAAGATGATGTTTAAAAAAACAAAAAAAGGTTATTACACGGCTCAGGAGGTAACATGGAACCAGATAATTCTAATAGGAAGAGAATTAATTTAAAAAAAAAAAAAAAAAAAATACAACAGACTGCTGTTTTATCGGGGGGTGGGGGGGGGGGGTGGTTCCACGGCCTATATTGACTAGCTTTTTTATGACCTGTTTGCAGATTGATCAACTCTAAAACTAAAAGGGCAGAGCAGGAAGTTAGATGGTGTATTCAATGTCGTTTTATAATCATAAAGTGAGAGTTTGATTCGAAACTTTTTTGTCTCAAACAACGAATATTGTCCCAAGGTAAAGTGGTAAATGTGCCGCTTTCCATTTGTCTGCTTCCGACCACTTCCGGGTTTATGGGTAAAGCTTCGGTCCTCTCCCTTTATTTTGTATCTAATCTGGGCCCCAGTTAGTCCTCATGGTAAAAGCTGGTAAAAGGTCATTGAACATCAACGACCTTGACCTTGATGTTTCATTGTTATTGTTTCCAGCAAGGCCAAGCCGGCTTTCCGACACTTTCCGTTTCAGTGATTCAAGTGTTGTTGTTCTCAAGTTGCAGTCTGCTCTCACTGTCTCTTCCTCAGGTGGACCTGCAGCTTGTGATCGGCTAAATCTGCCTTTTTTTATCGGTTAGAAATTATTTTCATTATTTTGTTTGCATAGATCTAGAATCTATCTTAATAAAATTTATCTAGAATCTAGATCTAGCTAAGTAATCAGACAGACGACGATCGTGTTTACGATTGAGTTTACTCTATTATAGACCATAGAGATCTAGAATCTAGATTTCTAGATATATAGATCTAGAGTCTAGATTCTAGATATATATAGGCATAGCTAGATCTAGATATCTAGATCTAGATCTAAATCTAGATATCTAGATCTATAATCTATATTTAGAAGAAGTAGAAGATGAGGGAAGATTGAAGAATACAGGACCACTCGTATACATACATTATCTACATTATCGCGGGAGAATGTGGGGTGGGTGGGATGGGTGGTTGGGGTGGAGGAGGGGGTGGGGGGGGGATCCTAACAAAATTCTTAGGTTTCTTCCACTTCTTTATCCCCAAAAAAGCAAGCAATAAGAACAAAACAGTGATGATTTTGCTATACTCACTGCGAGCCACGGCATTTTGAGAACCATTCAAATGAGAAGAGTCACCTTTGTCTTCCATCTCTTTGTTCTTAGTTATAGTTAAGCTCTTCTGGATGGTGGGGACGAAGCCGTTTCACCTCCAAATTTCTCTAATTAGTTTTTATCTGAAGAAAAAGTTGCCTCAAAAGTGGTTTGATGTAATTAATAACTTGTTAATTCTCAGCGGCACAAACACACAGCACTCCAAAGACATACCGTCTATGAGGTGTTGTTGCGGAAAGTAGAACGGGCCTAACAAAGGCCTAATGGGCGCATAGGTATCTGTGTCACTGGGGGGAAAGTGTGTCGTAAACTTTTCAGTGTAATTTTGTAAAAGTCTTCTACCTTTTTACAAAAAGAGTTTCATTAAAGACGGGCGTGGGAACCGGCTTATTCTTTCTGAGCCCTAACGACATTTGATTGGCTGTTAGGTTACTATAGTTGTAAGTGGCGACAACAATGATAGGATAAACGGGCAAGCCTGTGTTCATTGCGTGCGATCATGACGGTTTCAACTGCTTATTATTTCGTTATTTAAGAAACTTTAATTAACTATGGGATAGAGTTGGGGCGGAGAGGGGGCGGGGGTGAGGGGCTCAAGCCCGTAAGCCCTTCACTACCCACCGCCACTGGAATTACTACGGTTGAGATAGGCAAAGTCAGTCCGCTGGTCCGGTATTCTTCAATCTTACCGAAGATGATTCAGTCCAAACAGGACTGGGGGCTCTCGTGGCCTAGAGGTTAAAGTAAGTGTTGGCCTCTCATTCAAAGGTCCCGGGTTCGAATCCGGGTAGCAACCAAAAACTTTTCTTCTCTAAAATTGTCTCCTTTCACCTCCTTTCCTGCTCTCTAGCAATGTTCTGTCGTCTGCTTTCTTTTCCACTTTCTGCCCCTGCCCCCTCACCTCCTTTGCCCCCTCCTCTGGGCTCCTAACTCTTTCTGCAGCCTTTCTTCTGCTACTCATTGGCTCCTCTTTACTGCTGTCTTTCTATCACACCCCTGATCTTCTGGTTGGAAAGATCTACA